ATGAGCTCTAATAAATTAGAACTCCTAGTGGCACCTTTCTTATTCACTGATGTCATTTTACCTTTAAGGCATTTGACACATGTTCCAAAATCATTGAAATCGAGAGATGGTAACACTTCATTCTTCACGAGTCTAGATAAACGTTCTCGTGAAATGTGGCCTAAGCGTTGATGCCACAACATGGATGAAGTTTCTAAGTCTCGTTTTCGTTTTCTCTTTGTTAGTGTCTGATTGATATTATATGACAACAAAGATTTGGAAAAATCATCATCTAGTTCTAATTTATAGAGACCACCATCCAGAAAACCATGACCAAACACTTGAGAATTGAAACTAATAGTAAGTCTGCCATGACCATGAGAAACATCAAAACCGTCTATGTCTAACTTTGGTCCTGATACTAAATTCCGAGTAATCTCAGGAATATATAAGGTATCATAAAGTTTAATACATAAACCAGTTTTCATTATTAATTCTAAGGTTCCCACGGCTTCGACAGCTAGTTCAGTTCCATTCCCCAGCTTAAGTGTTCTTCGGTTTCTTTCCAGCTTCTGGATTGTAAGGAATCCCTGAAGTGAGTTGGTTACATGAACCATAGAACCAGAGTCAAACCACCATGTATTAGTTGGAACATTTAAATTAAAGGACTCAAGTATCATGTAAAGATGATTACCTTTTTTCGTCAGCCACTCCTTAAAGTCTTGGCAGTCTTTCTGTCTATGTCCTTCCTTGCGGCAGAACTTGCAGTAAGACTTCCCTTTGGAGTTCTTAGAGCTGGAAGAAGCACTTGCATCACGTTTCTGGACTTTAGAAACTTCCTTCTTATCGACATTTCCCTTCCTCTTCTTTGGATTAGCGGTCATGAGGTAAGCCACATCAGGTTTGTCCAGCTTCAGACGCTCTTCTTCTTGTACGCACATAGCAAACAACTCATTCATCGACCACTTGACCTTCTGGGTGTTGTAGTTGACCTTGAAAGCTTCAAAAGATGCAGGAAGAGAAGTCATTATAAAGTGCACCAGAAAACCTTCACTGATCTCCATGTTTAATCCCTTGAGCTTGCGGGCCATGTCATTCATCATCATGATGTGCTCACGAATGCCGCTATTCCCGTCATATTTTGTAGTCACCATCTTCAAAATGAGGGTACTAGCATGTGCCTTAGAAGTTGCTTTGAATTGTTCCTCCACAGAAGCCAGATATGTTTTAGCATTAGATGAATCTGGAATAGCTCCCCTGATGATTATGCTGATGGAATTTTTAATGAGCATAAGAGCCATTCTGTTGCACCTCTCCCATCTCTCATGTACTATTTTATCTTCAGCAGTACTNAGTGACGTGGGAAGGACAATAAAATCTGTAACCCTTTGAGTGAGAAGGATAACCAATGAAGTAGCAAGTTACAGTTTTCATGTCGAGTTTCTTCAAGAAGGGATTATAAAGTTTAGCTTCGGCAAGACAACCCCATACTTTCATATATCTTAGACTCGGTTTCCTTCCTGTCCAGAGTTCATAAGGAGTTTTAGGGACAGCTTTAGAAGGAACCCTATTGAGTATATGAATGGCTGTTTTTAAGGCCTCGGTCCAGAGAAATAGAGGTAAACCTGAGTTGGCTAACATACTGCGTACCATATCCATTAGGGTCTTATTTCTTCTCTCAGCAACACCGTTCTGCTGAGGAGTACCAGGCATGGTATATTGGTTTACAATCCCCTGGGCCTTACAAAACTCATAAAATGGACCAGGAGCTTGACCCACATCAGTATGTCTACCATAATATTCACCTCCTATATCTGATCTTACAACTTTTATCTGACGATCAAGTTGTTTTTCAACTTCAGTTTTATAATCTTTAAAAGTTGTAAGTGAATCAGATTTTTCCTTAATGAGATACAAGTACATATAACGAGAATAATCATCAATATAAGTGATAAATGAGTTATGTCCAGTTATACCAGTGATTGAGTAAGGACCACTAATGTCAGTGTGAATGAGCTCTAATAAATTAGAACTCCTAGTGGCACCTTTCTTATTCACTGCTGTCATTTTACCTTTAAGGCATTTGACACATGTTCCAAAATCATTGAAATCGAGAGATGGTAACACTTCATTCTTCACGAGTCTAGACAAACGTTCTCGTGAAATGTGGCCTAAGCGTTGATGCCACAACATGGATGAAGTTTCTAAGTCTCGTTTTCGTTTTCTCTTTGTTAGTGTCTGATTGATATTATATGACAACAAAGATTTGGAAAAATCATCATCTAGTTCTAATTTATAGAGACCACCATCCAGAAAACCATGACCAAACACTTGAGAATTGAAACTAATAGTAAGTCTGCCATGACCATGAGAAACATCAAAACCGTCTATGTCTAACTTTGGTCCTGATACTAAATTCCGAGTAATCTCAGGAATATATAAGGTATCATAAAGTTTAATACATAAACCAGTTTTCATTATTAATTCTAAGGTTCCCACGGCTTCGACAGCTAGTTCTGTTCCATTCCCCAGCTTAAGTGTTCTTCGGTTTCTTTCCAGCTTCTGGATTGTAAGGAATCCCTGAAGTGAGTTGGTTACATGAACCATAGAACCAGAGTCAAACCACCATGTATTAGTTGGAACATTTAAATTAAAGGACTCAAGTATCATGTAAAGATGATTACCTTTCTTCGTCAGCCACTCCTTAAAGTCTTGGCAGTCTTTCTGTCTATGTCCTTCCTTGCGGCAGAACTT